ATATATATTATTTCAAAAAATTGGGCCAGATCCAAATTGGATCCACCTATACCCGGATCCAACCCAAATTATCAAATTTTCGATCCAAAACTTGGATCCATACTCAGATCCGCATAGGATCTAAATTTGGGGTTTCGGACCAAACCAGGTAAATTCTCAGTCCTAAACATAACCAACATTATTGAGTTGCATGCCTAATATAATCATTTTTTCACATGTTCAACTACTAAATTACACTCTTAAAGCTTGGAAGAATAATATTCTTGAGTCAATACCCTCGTATTACTTAAGAAAGTTAGTCTAAATAATATTTCCATTTAATTATAGATATCTTTGGCATTTATAAATTCATTGAAACCCAACAACTCATCTTTCGTGTCTGCAGATTTGGGGTCATCCAAATACCACAAACATGATTGCCACAACCATGATTTTCTGGAAGTATGGTTTCATTGTGTTAATGTGACAAGGTGACTTGAAATTACTCCCTATAAAATTATCAGCAGTCTACACATTTTTGTCTCTCACACTATTGGATCTATGAACCTAGCATAATGGATTCAAATCTTCTTGATCAGGACCGAATTAGGTCTAGACTGAGAAAGATTGGGGCCGAAACAAAGTCAGTTCAAATTAACTTGGCTTAGAACTTCAAGCATCAATAGAATGCGACATAAAGAGTTTTACAGATTTAGGGATATGAGAGAACCACATTTTAGGTATGCTCTATTAAAATCCTTATTTTATATTTTATCCTAGGTACAGTGGATAACAGCCAGTTTGTTTTGGATGAATACGTTTGAGAGAGTATAGGAAAAACTTGATGCTTTTCTTTTTAATTTTAGAGTGCCTTGGTCACCTACCTTGGGACCCAATTGCTTGAGAATGAGTATGAGCAATGTTGGAGTAGATCAAGCGTTTAGGGTGTGTGCCAATTTGGCATTGGATACCAAGATTGTAAGAAAATATCTCAAATATATTGGATGGAAGGAGTGACTATTTTATTTATTTATTGTAGTAGTTATAACAAAAATTATTATATTTATTTACTACTCATAACACCACCAGAAATTTTGATAAAATTTTATATTGGCCGCCTATCTATCACAACCAAACCTTTTTTACTTGGGCTTGAAATACGTTAAGAGAATGTTAAAGGTCATCACCCTTCTTATGGCCTCAAGGAGGGTACGGCCTTAATAGAGCAAAATAGTGGATTAGGATTTGTGTAGTCAACTCCAATTAGTTGGAAAAATGGCTTTAACAATGATGATGATCATTTACTACTCACAAATTATTAATATCTTTTAGATCTTAACGATGAATTTTCAATAAAAAAATACGATTTAGTGTGCTTGCAGAATAATAGACTAAGATTCGTGTAGCTGACCCTAACTAGTTGAGAAAAGGCTTTGACTATGATTATGAATTTGCATATGACTAAAATTTCTTAGTTTTATATTATTAAACTTTTTCCTGATGAGTACCATCTCCTCTATGCCTCTCTCTATGTCCCACTTGACTACCATTTCTTGCGGTGAGAGTAACCCATAATATACTGGTTAAGTATAGGACACGGTTTCTACGAGTCCATCTAGAAGTCGACTCTTAAAAATCTATTTTTGAGATGGATTTTCAGACCCAATTTTTAAAAAAACTATTTTTGAGATGGATTTTCAGACTTAATTTTTAAGGACATGTAATCTCTAACATGGAAATCATGAATATAAATAAATAAATAAATTTTCATCAATAAAAATAATAATTTTATGAAGAAAACATTTGGACTATTAGTTTCAATTGTTTTTAGATGGACCACCTATTTGCTTCCATCTTTAAGATGGATGGTTTATACCTTGGGCTGCATATTGTAGAAATGCGATCCAACCCGCATGAAACAATTTTCCTAAAGTATAATATCTGGTTTTTACAACCGTTGATTGGACTTTGTGTGCAGCCGCATATGCAAGGCATGATGCATTGAGGGCTTAAAAACATGTCTAAATATATTCAGATCCATTTTTATCACCAGAAATAGATTAATGAGATGAAAATTGAAATGACAATCAAGATAGAATCGTTTGAGGCCTCGAATCTCCTTCGTTCTAAAAAAATTCATCTTCGAGGTTAGAAAATTAGATATGAAGCGTTATGGTCCACACGTGTTGAAAATCATGGAGAAATGAGGTACAATTATAGTCCCACAAGGTGCATCGGCGGTTGTACCAAGACATTATGGTGACTACGAGGTTAATCACCGTTCCATTAGTGAGTTGGACGCTTGGGAATGAATCGCACCAACTTGTTAAATAGTATATCCCCCTCTCCCTCCATCTTCCAATATGCCATTGATTAAATGGTGATAAACTTCTCACTCAACGTTATTATGATGACCGATCACATTATATTTTTGGAAATGTGTACAATGAGATCATTTACTTTGATACAAAGAGGTCGCAATCATCACTAACTATTAGATTTGAAATCGGGTGGTTGAGAATGTGGCAATTGTTTGGGTACAAAGTCCAAACTAAAATTTTTCCAATGTTGTGACACAATTCTATTTATTAGATTTCACATTCAAAGGCTAAAAGTGATTGTACCAAAAAAATAAATAACTTGATAGTATACAATCCTTTATATTTTTCATACTAATATAAAGGGTTTGTAAGTCAGGACCACCTTCCAATTGATTTTCAGAAAAGGATGTCGTTTGTATAAGGCTAAGGCCCTAAACAATCAAAATGAGGCACACCTTCAAATAGTGTAGAAATATGTTGTTTCGGTATCAAAAATCTTTATAATAGCTTGAATTTAATTTTTATCTCTAATTATAAAATTAAAATTTTAAAAATAGCATAGGTCAAGCAAATCGATGAATACTTAAATATCTTGAAAATTGACGGTCTAATACATTACAATATGCACTATTTTCAAAGCTTGAAATCTTTTTTTTTTCTCATGTCCATACTTCTTAAAGTTTATTCATCAAAACAACATTTCTTAATGAATTTTTGAGGTGTGCCTTAATTTGATTGTTTAGGGCCTCACCCTTATATAAACTTTTTCCTTCAAAAAATACTTTGTAGATTAAAAGATTTTATTTTCCATATTTAATATTATCATGGCTAAATCATGCATCTCGTGAGGTTTAAATCTTAATCCATCTATAAGATGGATTTTTGAAGGGGGCCGCACAAGCACACGTTAGATTAGGGACTCACAGAAACCCCATCCTTCAAAAATGGCGAAATATGATACATGTACAAACCTAGATGCACATCCACCAGAAAAACTGCGAAATAAAGAGTATCAAAATGAGAAAAAAACAATTAAAAAAAAAAATTCTCAGGTAAGTTTTCAACACGATCAAGCTGCACTCATCTCAATACTGTATAATCTCTAAGGACATCATATTCTCTATATGGCTACTGCACAAAATCCCTATGTTTCCCTTTCCAACTGTCATATTCTCTATAGGGCTACTGCACAAAATCCCTATGTTTCCCTATCTAACTGTCCATTCTAAATCCCTATCCAACTGTCCATTTTGAATCGACAGCACAAATGGTCCCAATTACAATGTCACGTCTCTATATTATTTTATTTATATATTTTTTTACAAACTATTTTTACATCAAATTGTGAGCATCTACTCCTCCCTTAAAGTCATATCTGTAAAACCTATAACAAAAATATCTTCAATAAAATAAAATAACCAAAATACCACACAAAGTTTCAGGAGGAATTTTCGCATCTATAAAACCTATAACAAAAATATCCTCAATAAAACAAAATGACCAAAATACCTCACAAAGTTTCAAGAGGAATTTTGATCATCATATTTTGTCAAAAAATTATTTTTACTATTTTTTTAGATACGCCCCATTGAGATGATGACACATACTACATTTTATAATTTGTAGAAAAAAACTAAAATTAAAATACTCTAAGGCGTCAAATCTTAGATCAAACGGTCAGTGGCTCACTTGATCTAAATTGGACGGCTGGATGGAGGGGGAAGCATATATATTCCATGCACTAGTGGAAATATAATAACCTTTCGCCTCCCGATAGATATCAACTTTCAGAACTTATAAATGTATGAACCTCAGAATTAAACCCATCAAGTAGAGCAAAAAATAAAAACAACTTGAGCTTAAAATATGCATCAAGTAGAGCAAGAGCAAGGCCCCTCAAACAACTAGTAATGACATTAAAATTATGGAAAATATATGTCTCCTTTTTGTTACTTTTTTTCTCTCTATTTCTTGTCCCATTCCTTTTTATTTTCTCATATGGTCTTTAATGATTCACAAATACAACAAAGTATAATTGTATATTGCTAATTTCATGTGCAAAAAAAAGACGGCAAAATGAATACATCAGAAGCCAAATTCCCTCCTATGCTTCTTGGCTAAAAAAAAGCAGGGACAAACTCTCTAATTTCCAATAAACTTTCGAATTTTAACATCATTCTTCACTATCCTCAACCTTTTACAAGATTCAACAAACATCCTACATAAAAATAAATAAACAAATAAATAAACATATAAATGAATAAGTAAGAAGCAATTGAATGTGACTTAAAGAGAGGGAGAGAGAGCAATATGTTAAATAAAAAAGAGATAAAGATATGTGAAATAAGGAGCGAGAGATGTGAAGACAGAGTTAAATGTGAAATAAGAGAGAGAATTAATTAAAAGGAAAGATAGGATTAGTCCACTAGCTCATATGAACATATGAACCCAACGGTTCAGATTGAATCTGGATCGATATGACGATCACGGATATCCGGTAGTGTTTGAATTTTAGTTTTTTTTTTCACAAATCCAATTCACTTGAAATTTTAAGCATGTGTTCATCAAAAATATTTGAATCTTCGAAAAATATCAAAAAAATATTTTACATAAAATAAATAGATCAAAATATCCCTAAAAGCTTTCGGGAGGTATTTTGATCATTTTTGTTTTCACGAATAATTTTTTTATATTTTTATTAGGTGCACTTTGATGAGAAAAACACACACTTAAAATGTCAAGTGGTTTGAATTTATAGAAAAATAAATAAAATTCAAACACTACTATACATCTGTGATCATTAGATCGGTTCAAATTCAATCTGAACCATTGGGCTCATATGTTCATATGAGAGCTAATCCTATCTTTTCCTTTAATGGGATAATTAAATGTGGAATAAGAGAGGGAGAGAGAGAGATAAATGTGAAATAAGAGAGAGAGAAAGAGAATTAATTGAATGTGAGCTACATGTGAAATAAGAGAGGGAGTAAGAGATGTGAAGAGAGAGAATTAAATGTAAAATAAGAGAGAGAGACTTACATGTGAAATAAGAGAAAATTAAATGTGAATGAAAGAGAGCCAGAGTCACAAGTGAAATAAGAGAGAGAGAGAATTAAGTGCGAAAGAAAGAGAGATAGAGAGACTTACTCCCATGGGACGTCTCCTACAAGCATCCAGTCACCATCATCGTCTTCATAAATTGGAAAATATTCCGAGCTTTTCCTCTCCTCTTTTGCGTTTGAAATGCCTGAAAATTACATTAAAATTGGTACACCATTATGCACTGTATCTTTTAACATCAATCATCGTAATTATTACTCATAGAAATACTTGATAAACCAAATTTTTACAAAAGTTAACTTTTTCCCATATATATTGCAGTATTATAGATTCAATTTCCATGAAGACTCTCTCTCTCTCTCAAAACCAATTTGTATTAATTCCAAAACCTAAAATAAATTGTAGTACCTAAAAGTCTTATCACTTTTTCTTAAGAATTTATATGACCCTCGAAAAAAAATATAGAAACCTCATGTGAGCTTTATCCCAACTATTAGGGCAGAGCTACATGAATTTTATTTGGCTTTCAGGATTCATGACAAGTTTTAAGCGTGCAAATAACAGAGAAAATAGAAAAAGAAAAATGAAAGGCATGCTCTTACCTATTGAAAAGCACCCAAACATGGCAGCAAGCGCTTTGGAGAGCTCTGAATACTCATTAAACATTTTCAGATCCATTTTTCTCAGATAAGGGGTTCCTTCCATGCCCACTTTCACATAATTCTTCTTCTGTTGTTCCTCCATTTTTTCCTGTAAATAAACATGTTTCCTGAAACTACGAACTGGGGGCCACCCAACCACCTGATTTTTGCAGTTTTCTTCCTTTCTCTTACACTCTGAAATCTCTGAAAATCCTCTCTTCTTTGTCTTGGCCACCATTAGAGAACCAGGAGCTTCAGTTCCTGGAAGACCCAACCTCAACTCTGTCACTTGAAGGTCCATTATTGCTAAAATTTGCCAAATTTAGCAACTTTTTCTTTGATAATTTGCTGATTTGGGAATTGGGTTTTCTAGGGTTTGGAGAAGAAAATTTGTAGATTGTTGGATACCTCAGAAATCGAGCTTTCTAGGGTTTGGAGAAGAGATGGAGTAAGCAGCTTGATCCTTTGCTAAATTTGGAAACTGGTTTTTCTAGGGTTTCGAGTGCAAGGGGGTGGTGGTGGGTTTTATAGATGGAGAGAGAGAGGCAAGAAGGGGACATAGACAGGTATTTTATTGGGAAGTGGTCGGTCACATGCTCAGCCGGTCTTACCAGATTTGGGACATATCGGACGACTCAGATTCTTTTGTGGGGGTTGAGGGAGGTAGATGCTTGCCGTTGGATGTGGGCCCGACATATTCCACGTGATGTGCTGGCCCATGTGTTTTCTATTAGTGAAAGATGGCTTGCCCAGCATATTTGGCATGCATGTACTATTATTTACGCGCATGTAGGGTAATGGGTCGGGAGCCGCAGCCCGCCATAAACCCGGCCCTAAAAAACTAAGGTTGGGTCGGAGGGCTGATATTTTTTCATATTTTTATATTAATTTTAAATTTTAAAAATTTGATGTCTAATTGTCATGAGTTATCATGACTTCCTTGCGTAATAAAAAATAAAAATGGCCTCATATTATACAATTTTTTTTAATATATTATATATTTTATTTTCATAAAAAATATTACATATTTTTTAATTATTATTCATAGTTTTAATATTTGAAAAATTCGATCAAACTGATTAGACTAACCTTCAGATGGATTTTGATCGGACTGAATCCCACACCAGCTCGGCATGTGCCCTGGATCATATCATAGTATATGCTTCTCCACGTTCCCTACAATCCATATGTAGCTCAGATGCATGCACCATGCATAATGAACTATAATGCATGTGATGTCAAGGGGGATGGCCATGATATTCTGAGATGCATACATACATTACAAGACCATCGAAATGAAATCTTGGGCGCCATGTGTCAAGCGCTAAGCAAAAGTGGAGGCAATTGTAGCCATTATTTTAAGCAGAATGGGGGGCATGGAAACCTACACGGACAGTATTGCCTCCAAATTTTTGGGTGGCATAAATGCCATTTCCATATACATGAGATATAGCGCTTTTTTTTTTTTTAAATGATAGTTATGAAAGATACGGTTGATTTTAACATTTTCTTTCTTCCATTGTTTTATTGTCGGAAGTTTCATCTCAGGCCTTTGGTTGGACATTTATAACGGTGAAAGTTGGAGTTAGGTAAATTATTGGAGGTTTTTTTTTTTATTACACACATGTGGATCTTTCTAAGAGAATTATAAAGTTTGAAGAAGATATCGTATATATAATTCAAACGGAGTGAGTGAAGCGGAGATATGCATTCAGAGTTTTATATCTGTAAGACTAGCCATGCTTTATAGAACATAATGTTAGCTAATCAAGAAACAACATACCTATAACATGAGTGCGGCTGAGATGAGAATGTTGAGACGGATGAGTGGCAAGACAAGATATAACATAATTCATAATGAATATATCCAAAAGTATATAGGGGCGACCCCAATAGATAAAGTAATGAGAAAATATACAGTGATTTATGATTTTATTGAGGTTGTAGCCCTCAAGCAAAATGACATAGAAAAATCTATATACCCGACCTAAATAGTCAAGATAAAGATCGGATATAATAATGACGACAACTCACGCATCAATTCTTACAATTCGAGTTACCATTCTAAGTCAGTATCGACGACTATCGTGTTGCGCATGAAATCGACCTCAAATTTCTCTCTCACTAGGGACCACCATCAGCCTCAAACAATTGCAGAGAGCAGGATGATAATATGCCCTAGAGAGAGAGAGAGAGAGATTTGACCTCTTGAACTTGGATGATATGTTAAGGGGGTAGGGCTCTTGGCTAGGTAGCTAGGAGACAAGGGCCACACCACAACCTCCAAGGTTACTGACTTGCCGTAAATGTTGAGAGCAATGGAGTGGTCTTCTTGACCACAACAATTGTCCAAGCACACGCGCATGAAAGTAAGAGAGAGAGAGAGTCACATGCTCTGTGGCCTAGAGACAAAGAAGGCCCCATCATGTGTTAGAAAGAAAATACCTTGCAATGATCCTATATGTTTTAGATGCTACTTTCACCTGCTTGAAATTAAAAAGGGTACAGTTTGTATAGAGTTGAGGCTCTAAATGATCAAATTAGAGCTCATCTTCAAATAGTATCGAGAAATGTGATTTCAATATTGGAAATCATTGTGATAGCCTTAAAATATATATTCATCTTTAGCTATAAAATTTAAGGCGTCAAAAATAGTGTTGATCGAGCAGATTCATGAAAATTTGAAAATCTTAAAAATTGACAGTAACAAAATGTGTTATAAGATACACTATTTTCAAAACTTGAAAATCCATATTTTTCTCATGTCCAGACATCTTGATGTCGAGATAATCAATTTAGGATATTTGGACATCAAAACAACCTCTTCCAATAAAATTTTTGAAGTGGGATTTAATTTGATTGTTTAGAGCCTTGGCTCTGAGTAAATTTTTTCCAATTGAAAAACAGAGAGAGATTCACATTCCCTTGTGCCTTGAAATAAAGAAAGAAGGGGAGAGAAGTTGAGCTCAATAGGCTTCCATGTGTTAGAGAGAAGGATAGATTGTAAATTACTATGTGTATTTAGAATCTTAGATACGCAAGTGATTGCACACAGGAGAGAGAGATGTATATGTCCCACATCCACCGAGCATAAAATCATATATCTACGTAAAATAAGAGATTATATATGAGACCGTTTATTGTTGTTACAAGAAACTCACAATCATTTTTAACCATTAAATGTCAAATTGGATGGTTTGGGATATATTATAAAGATTGAAAAATTATGCTTTTTAACTTTGAGTCTAGTAAGTCACTGACACATTTACAACTAATGGACAAGAGCGATCATAAATAAAAGAAAGTAAGCAAAGAAACCTTAAATTTTAAGAAGATGGAAGTGGGAATAAACAACGAGAAAAATAAAATTAACTACCTAAAAAAATATAAAAAATAAAGGGAGAATAGGCAACCAAATCTGAGCTCTTCAAACGTGTCATGCCAACCGCATGCTATGTTATGTAGAGTCACATGCTCCATGCATGTGCATGGGATAGGAAAACTTTCCCCAAAAGTCAAAACTCTAAATATATTTTAATTTGGAAAATGAATAATAATATATTTAGTAAAATAATTTAATATAGATGAACATGAAAACTAAGAGACAGGCTGGGTCATAGTGGGCGCATCCACGTATTTTAGTGGCAGGTTGTAGTTTTCATTCCTACTTCCGCTTCAAAAAAAACTATTCATCATTTCAAAAAGGGTGCGATTTGCATAGAGCCTAGGCTCTAAACAATCAAATTAGAGCTTACCTTCAAATAGTATCGAGAAATGTGTTTCAATACTGGAAATCTTTGTGATAACCTTCAAATATATTTTGTTTGACCTCAATTGTCGAATAAACACTCTTTTCATACTAATGAACAATCACAAAAAGTAAAATTTGAAAACACACCTTAAAAAGTGTTTTCTTAGCCCAATTAATATAGGCCGGCCATTTTAATTAGATGCTTAGATCTAGAAAGGATTTTTTTTTCTTTCCAAATTTTTAAGATAGCTTTATTATCATTAGATTAACGATGTCGAAAAAAAAATCAATTTTGAGTTTGTAAAAGTCTAGATCTTGAAATTCACTTAATAGATGGTCTAGATTTATTGTTAGAGGGAACTGATTTTGACCATAACTAGGGTGCGAATTTAATTTAATTTAATTTTTTTGGGCAATGATTATTAAGTTGAAGAGAGTTTGTGTACAAAATTTGGGATCAAACAAACACCACAAATATGGTTTTCTAGAAGTATGGTTTCATTATATTAAACCATCAAAGTAAGACACACTTCTAAACCATGTTAGAAGATGCAAGTTTAGAGTAAAAAAGAACTATAATATACTAAAAATTATATTTTTACTCTAATTATGCTATTTAAAGCTCCAATGTAGATCGAGCAGATCCACAAACACTTAAAAATCCGTAAAATAGACAGTCTAAATAATGTCTTACAAGATTGACTATATTTAGAATTTAAATTATTTTTCATATCCATACATGTCGAGGTTGAAATGATGAATTGGAGGTTGTTCCCACATCAAAACAACCTTTTTTTCATGACTCTTTGAGGTACGAGTTACTTTTATAACAGGGAAATTTATCCAAGTACTTATGATAGATAAACTATTTAACATTCTATCTATATGTTTTGATTAATTTCAAAAGACACATGTTTGGAGTTAGAATAATTACAAATGTGTGAATTATTAAATAATTCATCTCTTATGAATATTAAAAAATATTCTTTAAAATCTAAAGTTCTTGACCTAAACATACATACAGAGTGGGACGTATAGAGCCATCTCCTGGCCACAGAGGATATGTTCCCTTTACTTTATATAACCATCTAATCCATTAAAACTTAATACGAGGTCGCTCATGGGTTTAAAAAGTAGCATATCAAAAGGTGATAGTAAATTGGAAGGTTGGTTGTCAACAAGCATGGAAACCCCATTTGTGTCTTTTGATAATCCAACATGGTGATCCCACATGTTGCTTACTTACTAGTCATATGGGGCCTGAGGGTTTTTGCAGTTGTTTTATACCCCACATATTGAATTTATTTTCATTGTATAATGAGCCCTAGCACATTGTGGTTTTTATGCACTAGGGTGCATCTCCTTTGTGGTCATGATTGTTCCATAGTAACCAGATGAATGAATTCTAAAGCCAAGTTTATGTGGCTTCCAATGAGCCACAAACAATACAAGGGGTGGAGCTTGCATACAGGCAATGGGTGTGGCCCACATGGCTTAATGGGTGCATGGTTGTGTACCAGCGTTCAATTAAAGAGAAGTATTTGGTGACTTCGCCCTAGGCTTCAAAGGATATAGGACATCAATCTGATTTAGAGAAAATAACGTATATATCCGTTATTTTTAAGTTATCATAGAAATATCGGTGAAGTTTTTGTTATTACATGTATATTTTTTTTCTTTTCCATTCGTAACAGTTTTTTTAAAAAAAATGATGGAACTGCCCTTTCGGTTTTTAAAAATCTGAAATGTTTAAAATTTTCAGTTTTTGA